TCAATATCTTTTCGATTCCATTGCATTCCAGTAGAAACGTAATTTATTGAAATTTCATAATTATCAACGTTTCTATCAGCATCTGGAATATCTTCCTCATTTAAGGAAGTTGAATCATTATTTGAAATGTTTGTTTTGTCAATATCATTTTCTATGCCAGTATTTTCAAATTGTTCATTTTCTTGTTCAGAAGGATGAACATCTTTGGCATCACAGATCAATTCCTGCCTTTTAGTCTTTCTTGGTTTTATGTCTTTTGATCCAAGTGGCCTGCCACGCTTTTTGCATATAGAAGAATCATTTGCGAGAGATTTTTCAGAATTCTCTGCTGGAATTTCAATTCTGGCTGGGGCATTCATAGCAGGAATATGTGACTTTGTCACTTTCTTTGTATCTGTGAATGCATCAGGCAACTGATTTGCAACATTTTGTAAATGGATTATCTTTTGCACCTTTTGTTCACATGTATTTGATCTAGAATCAAGGTGTGATAATCCTATTGCATTCCATGTTATTTCTTTTGTACTTGGGTCCGATTTATTAGTTTCCCCCCCTAAGGTTGGGAATACTGTCTCATTGAAATGACAATCAGCGAACCGTGCGGTGAATAAGTCACCAGTCATCGGTTCAAGATATTTGATTATTGAGGGAGATTCAAATCCAACATAAATTCCCAACCTTCTTTGAGGACCCATTTTTGTACGATGAGGTGGAGCAATCGGAACATAAACAGCACAACCAAATATTTTTATGTGTGCTAAGTTTGGCTCTTGTCCAGTAACTAATTGCATTGGGGAATATTCATGATATGCAGTCGGTCTAAGCCGAATTAAATTTGCTGCATGTAAAATAGCATGTCCCCAAGCTGATGAAGGTAAATTACACTTCATTAATAATGGTCTAGCGATTAATTGTAATCGTTTAATTAAAGATTCTGCAAGACCATTTTGTGTATGGACATGAGAAACAGGGTGCTCCACATCAATCCCAATCGACATACAATAGTCGTTAAATGTTTGGGATGCAAATTCTCCTGCATTATCAAGTCGGATTCTCTTTATAGAATGATCCTGAAAATGAGCTCTTAACCGTATAATTTGAGCAAGGAGTTTAGCAAATGCTAAATTTCTAGTCGATAAAAGACTAACATGTGACCAACGTGTTGAAGCATCAATCAACACCATAAAATATCGAAATGGTCCACATGGAGGGGCAATCGGCCCACAAATATCTCCTTGAATCCTTTCTAAAAATGCAGGTGATGCAGTTGCAATTTTGGTCTTAGAAGGCCTGATGAACATTTTGTCAAGAGAACAGGCATTACAAGGAAAATCACTTGATAATGGAACCCTGATATTCTTTAATGGGTGTCCAAGTGAAGTCTTAATGATTTTATGCATCATTACATGGCCTGGGTGACCTAAACGGTCATGCCACAACATGAATGTTTTCTGATCATCTAACTTTGCGTTGGAAACCAAATTTATTTCGAATGGACTAATATGAGTGAAATATAGTCCTGAGGAATATGCTGGCATTTTTTCACAAATACATTTAGTGCCAGATTTACAAAGATATTCCTTTTGGTTTTCATTCATGGTTTCCATGTGATAACCATTTTGACGCATATCTTTAAAGCTTAATAAATTACTCCGCGATTTGCTGGAGTATAAAGCGTCATTTATAAGTAATTTTGTCCCATAAGGGAGCATCACATATGCTTTCCCAGAGCCTTCAATGAGCTTCGCAACACCTGATATTGTATTAACTTTAGCCTCAACTAAAGTCATTTGAGAAAAATATATTTTATTTCTCAAAATGGTGTGCGTTGTGGCGCTGTCTATCAGACATAGCTCTTTATCACTTGGGTGATCCATATCTGCAGGAGATGATTTCTTGAAGAGCTTTTGAGCAGATTCGTGCTGATAACGTGTTGTGAAATGAAGAAGATGAAAACTAAATTTAAGAGATAGATATATAGATAAAAACTTCTAAATTACTTCTTAATATCTGAAATTTCTGAGTATCTGAATTTTTTTACAAGAGTTTGAGCAAGCCCTATTTATACTAGCCAGGCATGTGAATCATCTAGGAATGATTCTACATGATTTGCTGGCAGTATTGAATCTAGCCATGTGTGTGATTACAAGGACTTGTGTTTGATGAGTAAGGATGAGAACTAGCTAAGTGTCCTGATTACAAGGATGGACAATTCACACATGTCATTCTAGCCATTTTACAACAATCACAAGTTAGTTACTAATTTTCTTCAAGTCTGAAGTATCCAAAGATATTCTAAAATCCCCCCTTCCAACATTCCGAAGGGTCTATTGTGTAACTGGTAGAAAATAAACTCCGTGTTTTGCAATGGTGCATTTGAAACTCTCAAAAGTCTTAAAATAGTGCAAGCGATCTCAAAAACTTCTTTTAGAGCGTATATAGTTCAGAATTAGTTCTAAGCACTCTCAATGGATCCTAAACTTATGCCAAAAAACATACAGCATACAAACTGAAGTGATAAGTTTTCAAGCGCACAAACTGATTCATGGGAAACCGCCCATTTCAATCAATTATTTAAACGGAAATTGTCCTAAATAGGAGTAATGAGTTCCTAAAAAGCACAAATAGGACTACTAGTTTTTAGATTCTCTAAATATTACTAAACATTGATTTTCTACATACCTAAATACCCCTAAGAGTATTAATTCATAATGAAATGCTTTAATTCATAATAAAATCATAAAAAAACAAAAAAATATTTAAACAATGTAAAAAAATTATAAAACATTTATAAAATAAAAATTTTAATTTTTACTTTTTTAATTCATAAAAAATTTTAATTTTTATAAAAAATAGTAAAAACCCATAAAAAATGAAAACAATTATGGATACCTTTCCCACCGCCTCCCAGCACCACCAACTCCGATTGGTGATATTTCTTCCACTTTTGGTAAAAAAAATGCTATCTTTTTCTCAAAATGTCAAAAAGATGGCATAATTACTCTTCAATATGCCATCATTTTCATTGAATATGCCATCATTATGGCATTATTTAAAATGTTGGCATATTTTTCTCCGGTGATGGGAGCTGGTGGTGCTGGGGGTGGTAATGTTTTTTTTTAATTTTACGATTTTTATTTTATTTTTGTTTTAATTTTTTTTTTAAATTTAAAAAAATATTTTATTATTTTTCTATTATTTTTTTACGAGTTTTAGTATTTTTTTCGATTTTTATTATTTTTTATGATTTTATTATTAATTAAAACATTTCACAAGTTACAAGGGTATATTTGTCCAAACACACATAAATAGTCCTATTAAGGAAATTTAAAAAATGTAGTCCTATTTGTGCAATTTTGCCACTTTTTAGTCCTATTTAGGGAATTGACTCTTATTTAAAAGGAGGCAGATGCATTTGAAATGAGTAATATGCACATTTATAACACAACAAAGTCGTTCATTTAATTTTGCTTGTTATTCTGGAGGATGATTAATACCTTCTCCTTGAATCAAGACAGTATAGATTGTGTGTAGTAATGGCTGCAATACACTGTAAAGATGTTTTTACTTGGACTGTAATTTGTCCCAGACCAGACCAGACCAGACCAGTCCAGACCAGACCAGACCAGTTCAGACCAGACCAGACCAGACCAGACTTGGATAGTTATAAAAATACAAAGAAACCAGACCTTACCAGACCAGACCAGACCAGTTCAGACCAGACCAGACCAGATCAGACCAGACCAGACCAGACCAGCAAATTACAGTCCAAGTAAAAACATCCTAAATACAGTATATTATATTCATAAATTAAGCATCTAGATAAAGAAGAATAGTATTCTTCATTAGTCTTGTACTCTATCTTAGGAAACTAAAAATATCATGTACTTTTATAGTCTAGAAGGTGTTTTTTTTCAAGCGTTAACTATGAAAAGGTAATTGGTTTCTGCTAACTACTCCAATAACACAAGAAGAATTTTCTGAATATGAACTTTTAAGCCATAACAAAATTAAAAATATTTAAGAAAATTAAATAGTAATGCGCAGGTTATTCATATATTTACTTAATCTTCTTCACAAGAGTAGAGCCTACTATTTTTTCTATGAATTCATAGAGAAATTCTTTGCATAATTTTTGTTTACACGGTTCCAGAACCATAGCTCTTTTAGCTTTAGATAAAAGAAGAATATGTCGTTTATATTCCCTCAATATTACAATGAGTTTGACCAAAAGTGTAGTAAGTTTCAGTTTGTCTATGTATTGAAATTCATGCTAACAAAATATGGAAATGATATTGAAAATTAATCATTTTCTCTAACAATTCTGGCTTTTACGACTCCAAGATCCATAACTCTTTTAGCTTTAGATAAGTTTTCATATCGATCCTTTACGACTCCACCGGTCACTTTCCCGACCCTTAAATTTGGTTTCAACCGCCATTTGGTCTTCCTAGACTTCCCTTCACTTGAACGGATTTGCACGACTACTTCAAACTCAAATTTTACACTAACCCATAGTCTAGATTCAAAAACATTATCCAAAGCAAAAAATGTTTCAGTCAAACAGAAAATGTAAGAACAAATATGACTAAATATACGAAGTCATAAGGAGTGTGGTTAAATCTTAAAGTAAGCTTAGTTCGGTAAGCAAATTTTACGTGACTTGCTAAATCTTTAGCCTATGTCTCCGTGTTTTAGCCTATGCCTCTCTCTGTTCCGAATTTGTGAAAGCTTTTCATGATAACTTAATGTCAAGTAACGTGGCTAAATCTTTAAATTAACCTTCCTTCAGCAAGCAATTTTGAAGTTACCTATTACCTTATTCCTTTATTATATGTAAGTATCAAGAATAAATGCTGGGCTGATTGCTGTTTTCTTAAGTTAATTAGTAGTTATTGGGCCATTTGTTATTTGGGCCTTACTATAAGGATATTTAGTAATACTATCCTATTGTATAAATATATAGAGTATGTACTGTAGTAATCTATCGAGCTAATTCATTCTCTTCAACAAAAGTTCTACCCTAATACTCAGATCATCTTCTTCAAGTTCGCTCTTCCAAGAAACCATTGTTTTTCAGTTTTTGCTATTGTAATATGGTATCAGATTAGCCTAAACGCGATCTGTATCCTCTTCCGCTTTCAATCGATTCCTACAATCGATTTCTTCAAATCGATTCCTACAATCTCTATCGATTTCTATGATCGATTCATTCAAATCACACTATGAATCCTCTAAATCCTATTGAGGATCCCACTTCTCCCTACTATCTTCATCCAGGAGATCACTCGGGTAATCGCATCATCTACGAAACCTTCACAGGCGACAATTTCAGTGCATGGAAGAAATCGGTTGTTATGTCTTTCACGGTCAAGAACAAGCTAGGGTTTCTGGATGGCTCGATTGAACAACCTTCAAGTGATGATCAGCTACGCAATTCTTCTTGGTATCGTATCAATGCTCTTCTCCTATCTTGGTTGATGTATTCTATTTCACCTGAAATTCGTTCAACCTTTCTTTATTTTACTAATGCTAAAGATCTCTGGGATGAGATTAAACTTCGTTATGATAAAAGTGATGGTCCTAGGGTTTTTCATCTTGAAAAAACCCTAACTAATATCTCTCAAGGAACTCAAACAATCACTGCCTATTATAATCTCTTCAAGACTCTGTGGGATGAATACCTGAACTATCGTCTTATTCCTACCTGTAAATGTGGTCTCTGTACTTGCAAAATCAATGAAGTCTATCAAAAATTACTTGACCGCGACTCTGTTATGAAATTTCTTATTGGTTTGAATGAATCATACTATAATTTGAGAGGTCAAATTCTTCAACCAAATCTGACTCTTTCTTCAGTCTATTCTTCTTTTCTTCAAGAAGAATCTCAGAGATCTCTTCAGAATCCTATTGGTTCTATTCCATCTTTCAATGAAACCTCTGCTTCTCATATTCCTACTCATGACTCAACTGCTTTTCTTGCTAAATTCCACTCTTCTAAAAAGAAAAGCAATGTCACTTGTACTCACTGTGGTTACCAAGGTCATTCTGCTGAAAAATGTTTCCAAATCATTGGATATCCTAACAACTGGAAAGGAGCTAAAGGTCAAAGATTTGCCCCTGGTTTTAAGTCTTTCCAACCTTCAACAAAAACTCCACAAGCTCATCTGGCAAATGCTTCTGAGGAGTCTGTCTCTAATGACTTTGATTTCTGTGATCCTGACCTTTACAACAAATTCCTTCAGTTTATGCATACTCAACAAACAAAAACTTCTTCTGCTAATGTTTCTTCTGCCAATGTTGCTTCTGCTAATGTTGCTATGACTATTAATGATGCTGGTGATACTTCTCTCAACAATAACAGTGAGTTCATAGGTAAACATTTCAGTTTCAATGCTTTAAAGAAATCTATTATCTGGATTCTTGACACTGGTGCATCTGATCACATGATTTCTGACTTTTGTCTTTATACTTCAAACACTAAATCTATTTCTATAAATATTCAATTACCTACTGGTAATTTTATTCAAGCTACTCATATAGGAGATATTACTCTTAATGATAATCTGACATTACATAATGTGCTTTATGTTCCTAATTTTAGTTTTAATCTCATTTCTGTTTCCAGTTTAGCTCTTCATGAAAACATATCTGTTCATTTTAGTTCCAACCATGCTGCATTGCAGGACCACCTTACCAACAAAATCATTGGCTTTGCTGAAATTCAAAATGGATTATATCATTACAATCCTGCTACTTCTTCTTTTACAAACCATCATAATCCTGCTATCAAATCTGTTGCTAATTCTGCCAACACTCATTATGAAAGTCCTGATCTTTGGCATTATAGATTAGGTCATTTTCCTTATACAAAATTCAAAATGTTATCTGATTGTATTGTTGATAATAATGGTACTAGTACTGCTCCTTGTGATATTTGTCACTTTGCTAAACAAAAGAGACTACCTTTCAATAATAGTGATTCTTATGCTAATTCTGCTTTTGATTTAATTCATATGGATGTTTGGGGACCATATAGAGTTACTTCTTATTCTGGTTTTAAGTATTTCCTTACTATTGTTGATGATCATACTCGTTGTACTTGGGTTTTTATGCTAAAAACAAAATCTGAAGTTAAATTTCATATGATCAATTTTCATAAAATGATTGAAACTCAATTTCATAAAAGAATAAAATGTATTAGAACTGACAATGGTACAGAATTTATTTTTCCAGAGTTTTATAAAAGAAATGGTATTGTTCATCAACTTTCTTGTGTTGAAACTCCTCAACAAAATGCTAGAGTTGAAAGAAAACATCAACATATTCTTCAAATTGCTAGAGCTTTATTATATCAGTCTTGCTTACCTCTTATTTTTTGGGCTGATTGTGTTATGACTGCTGTGCATATTATAAATAGATTACCTACTGTAATTTTAAAAAATAAATCTCCTTTTGAATTACTTTATGGCATCAAACCAGATTATTCTCATCTTAAAGTTTTTGGTTCTCTTGCTTATGCTTCTACTCTTTGTGCTAATAGAACTAAATTTGATCAAAGAGCTATTAAATGTGTTTTTATTGGATATCCTTTGGGATCCAAAGGATATAAACTTTATGATTTATCAAATCATAAAATTCTGATTTCAAGAAATGTAAAATTTTATGAAATGACTTTTCCATATAAAAATACAACAACTGATTCTTTAACAAAAATGAATGATATTTCTCCAACACAAGATAACATTGATTTGCACATTTTTGATAGTTATCCAAAACAGTTAAATACTCAATCAACTTCTGAAAATCACTATGAACATGTTGAAAATCAAATTCATGATGAAGCTGCTGTTTTTAGTCACCATGATTCTTCAAGTTTGATTCAGGATAATACTAATGCTACAATGGATGAACAACATGTTCAAAGACAGTCTACAAGAGTAAGATCTGTGCCCATTCATCTTAAAGATTATGTATATCAGTTACCTATTTCTTTAGATCATAATACTAATACTAATGCTTCTGTTTGCAATCTTGTTAGATATCCCATAAATAACTATATCACTTATGACAGACTAACTTCTTCTCATAAGTGTTTTACTGTTGCCCTTTCCAACACCATTGAACCTAAAACTTACAAACAAGCTATAAAATTTCCTGAATGGAAAAAGGCCATGAATGATGAAATTCAAGCCCTTGAAAATAACAAAACCTAGATCCTTGTTAACCTACCAGAAAATCAACATACCATAGGGTGTAAGTGGGTGTTTAAAACAAAGCTAAAATCTGATGGTTCCTTAGATAGATATAAAGCTAGACTAGTAGCAAAAGGTTATACTCAAGAAGAAGGTTTGGATTACTTTGATACTTTTTCCCCTGTTGTTAAACTCACAACTGTCAGAATCCTTTTAGCTATTGCCACTGCTAAGAATTGGTTTTTACATCAACTTGATGTAAACAATGCTTTTTTACATGGTGATTTGTATGAAGATATATATATATATATATATATATATATATATATATATATATATATATATATGCAGGCTCCTCCAGGTTATTTAGCAGCAAATGACAATAGAGTATGTAAACTTCTTAAGAGTTTATATGGGTTAAAGCAGGCTTCCAGACAATGGTACTGTAAACTATCTGAATCTCTTAAATCTTTTGGTTATAATCAATCTCAAGCAGATTTTTCTTTATTTACTAAAGTAACTAACACTTCTTTTACTGTTTTACTATTATATGTTGATGACTTAATCCTTGCAGGCAATGATTTAAATGAAATCAGTGCTGTAAAAACTTTTCTACATAATAAATTTACCATTAAAGACCTTGGAGAGTTAAAATATATCTTAGGAATTGAAATTGCTAGATCAGAAAAGGGTATTTCCCTTTGCCAAAGGAAATACACTTTAGATATTCTCTCTGATGCCGGATACCTTAACTCAAAACCTTTTTCCACACCTATGGACCCCAAACTTAAACTTTCTAAAACTCAAGGACAACCTTTAACTGATCCTAAAAGCTATAGAACTTTAATTGGTAGGCTTCTTTATCTTACTGTTACCAGACCTGATATAGCATATAGTGTACAAACTTTAAGCCAATTTCTTTCTAATCCTACTGATACACACCTAAGTGCAGCTCATAGAGTTCTCAGGTATCTCAAAAACTCCCCAGGTAAAGGTCTTTTTTATCCATCCTCTTCTGATTTTAAATTACAAGGTTATACTGATTCTGATTGGGCAGCCTGCATTGATACCAGAAGAAGTATATCTGGATATTGTTTTTATCTTGGAGATTCTTTAATCTCTTGGAAATCTAAGAAACAAGCTGTTATCAGTAGGTCTTCTACTGAAGCAGAATACAGGGCTGCTGCCAATGCAGTTTGTGAAGCCCAATGGCTTTCATATATCCTTCAGGATTTAAAAATTAATCATTTCTTACCTATTCTTTTATATACTGACAACAAATCAACATATCATCTTGCATATAATCCAATTCAACATCAAAGAACTAAACATATTGAATTAGACTGTCATTTAATTAGAGATAAAATAAATGCTGGGCTGATTGATCTTATACATATTAATAACAGTTTTCAACTTGCAGATATATACACAAAAGCTTTAGGAAATCCTCTCTTCAACCAGTTTGCATCCAAGATGAACCTGATTGACATCCATGCTCATCTTGAGGGGGCGTATCAAGAATAAATGCTGGGCTGATTGCTGTTTTCTTAAGTTAATTAGTAGTTATTGGGCCATTTGTTATTTGGGCCTTACTATAAGGATATTTAGTAATACTATCCTATTGTATAAATATATAGAGTATGTACTGTAGTAATCTATCGAGCTAATTCATTCTCTTCAACAAAAGTTCTACCCTAATACTCAGATCATCTTCTTCAAGTTCTCTCTTCCAAGAAACCATTGTTTTTCAGTTTTTGCTATTGTAATAGTAAGTATAGTTTTAAGATATTATTACCAAGGAAACTTCTATGCAGCAAGCAAGTGAACTAAAAAAAGATGACCAACAGAATGAATTTATAATCAAAACATGATTTAGTTGAAACAAAACCGGAAAATGAAAATTGAAACTAAGATTTTTTTTAACTAGATCAATATCTTGAATATATATAAACATGTTTGTTTCTTAATATTTGTCCTTTTGAATTGTCAGGATCTCTAGCAATTCTGGCAAAGAACATTTAGTGAGTAAGGTGCGAATAAGAAAACGAAAGAAGGAACCCTAAATTTATCCATCAAGTTTATACTAAAGAAATAGACAATTGAATAAAAAATGAGACAAAATTCAGTAGAATCAGTACCTTGAATATTCACATGTTTGTTTCTCCGCTTTTGTTCTTCTGAATTATTGTTTGGATCTCTAGATTTGGTATCTGTTATGCATAAGAGCAGATTGTATCTTTCATTAGGAATGAAATCACACAAACCTACTTTCATTCATCATCTCTCATTTAGACACTTTCATGTAATATCAAATTAAAGCCATAAATTCCAAATTGGAATAAATAAAAACTCTTATACATGGTCATAAGAAAGAATCAAAGGATTACAGTAAAGAGATAGTAATGCAGCTTCCTAAAAATGGTTGAAATTTATTATAGAAAATTTATGACTTTATGTTCTTTGCCTTATGTAAAATTTTATAAGGGCATAGTTGCTACAATTTTCTTTTAAGTAGTAGAAGACAAATCGTCTTTTGAAGATTTGATTAAACAATCATGCAATATAGAATAAGCATGAACTTGTTGGGCATCTAAAGAAGAGAAATAATGCAATTCCACCCTTATTTTTTTCTTTCTTGCCTTATCATCAAGCTAGTGTACTTTGCCTCCGCAAGCTTTAAAAATACTTTCCTTTCAACATTGTTTTTATTGAGTGTGCTTTTATTCTCTTCCATACTCTGCATAAAGCAAGCAAGAAGCTCTAAGGATATTAAGAAGATGGGATACTGTACTGAACTACCCGAGGAAAGTTATATTAAAGGTATTTGTGACACTCCAAAAATTTACATAAAATAAAATAATTAATTCATCAATAAGATAAAATTTTAACATATAAGAATAGCGAAATTTTAACAAAAGAGTGAAAAGTAAAATCAATGCAATCCCGCATGCACACATGTACTTGTATATTAGAGAAAGTTGACTTTTCTTTACATGCATATATTCACACGCATAACAATGTCCATATATATTTATGCGAAATAATACTATAGTAATATGTAATTTAATCAGTAGTAATTGCGGCAACAACTTGAACCGTCACATATGGAAACGGCCGAAACGATTGCACGTGTGAAACCCTAAGTCTAGAAAGATCGGCCAACCGTATATATTCATCGTGCAGGGTAGAAGAGAAGGGGTACACCTGCGGCGGAGGAATACTCGTCTATCGATATACATACTGAACTACTGCGTGCGTACGTACTAATAGATATATGGCCGACGGAGTATTAACGACGGACTGAGGGAAACTATCAGGCATCGGCCAAACCGCCCAAACGCTACGCCACTTGGTCGCCGCTGCAGAGTTGCTGAACCAGTTTCCGGCGGAAGATCTCGCCGAAGAAGAAGTGGATCGCTGAAGGTGTTCTCGAGCTGCTTGACGCCGGACCATTTCCTCACTGCCGTCGGAGCCGGAGTCATCGTTGTAAGGCCGAAGGAAGGTACCAAATTGAAGCTGACAATTTGAACACCGCGACCAACTACACCGGTGCTGATTCACGTAGATGACGAACGAAGCAAACGTAATTCATATCCTCCGTAGTTCTACGTAAGTTTTACACCTTTTGGGCTGGAGTATTTTGTAAACGAGAATTTGTATTAGTGGGCTGCCTGAATGAGATAGCATTTTAATAAAAATCAATTGACTTGATCGGACTATTATATTCTATGGTAAATGTATTAATAAGAATAGATTAAATGAATACGTTATGATAGGCCGTTTAATAGTAGATCAAAGTGGGTGGCTATTAACAAAATAAATTATAGTTTGAAATAGATTTTGATTTTAGAATTTTAATATTCTTAGAAGGTGAATTTGAAGAAGACTGAGGTAGAAGCTACGATTAGGAGTTATCGCGATTTGAGGTAAGTTTCACGTCAACCAAAATTATACCTTTTTCCTCGCAATTCTATTTATGATTATTTATTTGAATTATTTGAGTATTTGATGAGATTTCTAGCAATTACATTTACGTATTAAATTAGTTGCGATTGAGATTTTTATTTGAGTATTTGGAAATTGTTATGAATTGTTATTGAGAAATTATATTTGAGATTTGAGTATTCGGTATTGGATATATTTTGAGTAATCGTGTGAATTGTTGTTGGGATTTGAGCTATTTGTGAAGTATTCTATATTTTGGCTCTTTTGTGAAATTTTAATGTATGATACATTTGAGTGTAATTTGTTGGAGTTAATATTTTACATTTTGGATTATTTTGTGGACTTTGGATTTCATATCCGTTTTGGTTGAGGTTGTGATATTGGTTTGGAACCTTGAGAAAGAATTATGATTTTTGGTGAGCACCCGGAGAGATCCGTGGTGTCGGTTTGCCACATCCGGATAAATGTGGTATTGGTGAGTGGTAATGGCGATAAGTCTAAATCCACCAGGGGTACTTCCCAAAAGCGGAGTATCCCAGCTTAATTGTAGTGTAGTTGGTAGAAAAATCCCGACTACTCGGGCTTCTTACTTCCCGGAGGGCTTGGAATCCCTTTTAGGGGGGGTGCACACTTAAGGTAGGAGTTCGGCTTCCACTAGCTTTGATTGGGTTTGAGGTGAATTGGACTTTGATTGGATTGAGGTGATTGAGATTATTTGATTGGCTTGATTTGGATTTGTGGTGAATTAAAGTATTGGATTGATTGGAATTGTTGGATTATTGGATTGGATTATATTTGGATTGAGTTGTTAAATTATTTGTGGGTTTTACTTTTGGATTTGATTTGGTTTGATTATGTTGAGTACTCTTTATTATCAGCATTTATAAGTATTTTGAGATATTTGGTGTTTGATTTATGCTTTGGAATTATTGAAATGATTTTTGGTGGTTTTACGTATATTTGGTAGTTTTTTTTGTAATTTTTGTGGTTGGGAAATATTTGCTTATATTTGAAGTACTATTATTTTACTCGTGAATTATGTTATGAGAAGATTTTATAAATTGTTTTAAAAAGATTTTTCCTCTTAAATGTTTTTATATTATTTTATGGGGTTAGGTGGAACTTACTTAGCATTGTTGCTAATTTTTGTTTTCTTTTGTTTTTCTTTCTGTACTTGATTTTGTACAGGTGACGCTTTGATGATGATGTTGATTTCGAGAGAGCTTCCGCTAGAAAACATAGTTAGTAAATCATTGTAATTCCATTTTCAATATCTTTAGTTAGTGAATAATTTTTTTTGGAGTTTAAGTTGTTTTAGCCTGTGCACTCGGTTAAGGGAGAATCGAGTGTGGCGGTAACGCCCCTATTTCCCTTTTGGTTTTCCGCTGCATAACTCTGATGTTTTTGAAAAAAGTTAATATTTCTTTTGAATAAAGTATTATTTTTGGGTGGGAAATTTGGGGGTGTTACAAGTTGGTATCAGAGCTAATGGTTTTTTCCGGGGCATTTTCCAAAAACATTTTTCCTAAAGTCTTTTAAACAAATTTTTAAAAGTTTTCTCATGTTTAATAAATTTTATTAAGTGATACCAACAAGTTGGTATCAGAGCCTAAGGTTTTCTTTTCCAAGGGGATTTCCGAAATGTTTTTCTGAAATATTAGAAGAAAAAAAAATTATTAGGGAATAAGTAAGAAATTCTATTACTAAAATGAAATTTCTAGGACCGCGGTGAGGATGTGAGACTTTGATTTTGATTTCGTTTGAGTTTGTGGTTCTTTTGATTTTCTTGGGATATGTTTAAGTGTGACATATCCATATATGTTTATTTGAGGATAATTTTGGACTTATAGAAGAACTTTAGACAATATTTGATTAGTGAGTTATTGGTTAGAGTAGTAAAATTGTGAATACTAGCTATTTGATAGATTTCTTATTCGTATCCTCCTTTTCAAGGATACGATGACGTCAACGAGGAGCGACATCGAGAACAATGACACCACTCCAACGAACGCGGAATTAGCTCAGAATATGGTTCAACTAACTCAACTAATCCAGACCGTCGCGAATGGGTTACTTCAGAATCAACACCAACAACGTCTCAACAACCGCAATGATGTAGCGAAACTTGTAGCGAAGCGCAATCCCCCGTGTTATTTAGGCCAAGAAGATCCTCGCATCCTCGAGGATTGGATTCGCACTTTCGACAAACTATTCGACGCCATAAACTGCCCTGCGGATCAACGAGTTGATACGGCTGCATACTACTTACGTGAAGAGGCGGATAATTGGTGGGCTACGACTGCCCCAACACTGCGTCAACAACCCGACTTTTCTTGGGAGACGTTTAAGAAGGCAATACGAGAAAGATTCTACCCAGAGCATGTGAGAGCTGAGAAGTACGAAGAATTCTTACACTTGAAGCAAGTGGGTATGACCGTTCAAGAGTACCATGCCAAATTCTTAGAGCTCGCACGATTTGCACCCGCTCTAGTTCCCGATGAAATCGAGAAAACTAACAAGTTTATACGCGGATTGAACTTTGAGACACAAAAAGCTCTTTGCGTTACAGAATGCCAAACTCTAAATGA